TTTTCAGAACTCACCACTGTATCTTGAAACTCTCCACCCATTCCAGTTGTGGTTTGTTATCACGGCCGGCCAACTAGCAAGAATTTTCAGCAAGGAGGTTGGAGGTAGAGGTTCATACAAGAAGCTAACGGAAACAGAACAAGTCACTATTGGTGAATGGCTCCACTAAAGCTGCTAAAGAACAGAAAATTTGCTGAAGACTGTAAATACGTGGTCTTGTTGTCACAGCAATGCTCTATTAGTTTCTATGCTACTTCACTATGCTTTTATTATTGCAAATATTAGCAGCCGTGAATATTACCTACAGTAATGAAATAGTGAGGGCCCTAGGGGGAACCATGTGGGCGGGAAACAGGTATAAATCTAATTGGAGTGGCCTAAATATAATAGTAGTAGGACACGGCCATGCATGGTCCATGGAAGCCACTCCCTAATCGAGGCTGCACGTACATGCACATGGATTGGGGAGGGCGTTTAAGCCCCACCATTTAACATACCCATTAGTCTCGCCCCACCCTTTCGCTTACCTGTGGAGGAAGGATCTGCAAGAGATGTTCAAGGGACTCTATCCTCAACTTTTCTTAGCTGCAAAGCATCTGTTTCAGCTATTTTGACCGATCTGGTCTCCTCTGTCACATGATGTAGCTCAACCACGTGTTCTTCTTTGCACACATTTTAGATGGCAGTGCACAGTCTCCAGACCCTTCCTCCGGCTCTGCAGGTAGCGAAGGGGCGTGGCGAGACTACATACCCATCAATGTATAAAACAGATATATTTATCTTACTTGAAGAGATTGAAGTAATGAAGAGAATGAAGGGAAATTGAAGCATAAATACAAAACTCTGTGGATAAGTAGTTAATAATAAAAATTATTTACGTTTATCATTTTACAATAATTTCTCTCACTTCAAGAGAATCTTGGAGTAAGTAGATAGCGTTTAGGCAAGCACATCATCTCGAGCCCCCATTGAATAATATTGAGCATGCGCAGTTGGATGCATCAAAATGGCATCCAACCACTTGGTGAGTCAGTATGTGCTTGAAAATGATGACAAAAATCATTTTGTAGAGTTACAATGCCAAGCCACACTGCACTAGCGTCCCTGAAGTGCAACACAATGGTGCAAAAATCATATTTCTAGGATAAAAACTGTAGGACTAGTTCTTCCTTAACTGTGGAACTGAGAAGAAGGAGAAACCTGCAGGCATTCATTTGCAGTATAACTATCTTATGGAAGTTTTTAACTACTTTTTATAACACTAACCTGTTCTAATAAAATTATAAAGGACATCCTGACTGTCAGATAAGCCATAAAGAATTCCTGAAGATTTACACAGGCTCAATAGTCTCGCGTAGCCAGCCCCTCCCTCCGTGCCTACGGGAAGGGTCTGGTGGATTGCCCATAGTCTCGCCATAGATTGTATTGTTACTTTGGGGCCTGCCTGAAATACGGATCCACGCGGATCAAATGCGGATCAGGCTGAAATGCGGATCAACGCGGAACGCTCGCGGATCTGTATTGAAGTACGGAACAACACGGAAACTATACGGATCTTTCTGCAAGAATGATAGCTATGCATCAGGAGAGAAATTTACCAGCTCTATTTGAGTCTTTGATAGGAACTTTATCATCCTTGCAGTTTCAGTACATGCAGGTAAGCTGATGCTTGTGATCACTATGTCGATAATATTAGCCTGTATTTTATGACAGTTGACTGAGATCTACAGATAAGCTGATATCCTCTTGAGCTATTCTCTTCAACTTTTGTGAACATGCAACCATTGCCTGTGATAATGAGAAAACAGACTACTACTAGATCTAACTACTGAGCAGTCAACACACTCAACATTAGCTCAGTGTGCCTTCATGCAGTCAAGGGACAAGTCAAGTTATTTTAAAGTGCTATCATGGCTGTACCCCCCAAGTTCAACATAGATGGCAAAGTGGACCATTGTCTGGGAATTCCAGTCTTTGTTTTTTTACTTTATCACTGTTATTTTCTAATTATTATTATTCATTCTGCATGACTTATAGAATTATTATATTTTTAATCTTTATTATCATTATTCAGCTAACTACTATTATTTATTCATTCCATCAATCATTCACAGTCGTATAGTCTCTTAAAATT